CCCCTCCTGTTTGTAGGCTCCCTACAACTAGTTTTGAACAGTTTGAACGAACTTAACAAACAAACCTTGAATATGTCTTGGATTCCCCCTTCCCTTGAGGGAGTGAGTGTTAAAGTCTCATCACACTGAAATGCTGGTGTATGCTTTCTATGCTTCTAAAACTTTGTACACAGTAGTACAGGGGCTTTCTTCTGCATACCTTCCGGGCTATCTACTCAGTATCTGCATCACCTTCTCTTGCCCCTTGTTTATGGTTTATTTGGAGCTTTTGTTTGATTCACTCCTGTTTCCAATCAGAAATAAGCTTTCCCCCTGTGATTTATTTGCGAAGAACAATCTATCTCCTGCTCTGCACTGTGTTCTCTGGTGAGAAAAATGGCTTGTATGGTGTCATATGGACTTTAGGAATAACCTTGGTAGATTTTTGAGGTTTTTAGGTGAATGGTTTAAAGAAAAAAATGGATGCTTGGTTGGATGTTGGAAACAGGTCTTTCTGAATTTCTCTCAAGGGTAGAATGGGGAGGGATTTTATTTCTCTGAAAACAAAAAAAACAAGGCTAGTGCTGTGCTAAACTTCATCTTCACTGCATTTGCTAATAATGAATTTACAAACAAAAGCAGGGATAGTTATTACTGAATGTTTTAGTCAAATTTCTGAAATTATATTTAAATGTGGGAGATGCATTTTATATTCTTAGTAGGGAATTGGCAACAGTATTAAGATGTGACAGGCACAGCAGCTAGAGGACTACCTGTATGTGAGATTTGATTCTTACTGTTGGTAACTTAAATGACAGTTTTAAAATGTGAAGTGACAATCTATTGAGCCTCTCAGTATCTCGTTCTGCAGTTCCATCAAGCTGACAAGCTGTTTACTGAGCTGACATTGCCTGCTTTGTCAAAGGATAGATTAATCTCTGTAGATATCAATGCCTGGGTTTTAAATATGAAAGTTTTAGCAACCACCCAACATCTAAATTCAAACAGCAATAGGATTGTTATTGATGACTAAGTAGATGTTTAACCCTTGCAAAAATCTGTGATCTGTAGCACTGATTGCTTAATTGAATGGGTTATATATTTTAGGCATGTTTTAAGCTTCTAAGTTCTTCATCAGTTCCTATTTCTTAGCACTCCTTGCATGCAACTGGATTTATGAAGAGAGAATTGCCTTCAGTAACATGCACTATTCCTTGAGAAACTAGAGCACAGATTATAGCACTCTAGGTACTTCAGAACATAATTGGAGAATGCTTAAAAATTATTTCTGTTAGGAAAATAATAATGATTTGCTTAACAAAATCTTAATTATGCCTTCCTTTCTGAGTAACAACGTACTTTACACTTGGCTTTAAGCAGAGCTCTCTATAGTTGCAAACCACTGTACAGCATGAGAGCAGTGAGTGGATTACTTGATATTGTTATTTCTATGGCATAGCTAGAAAATAAAGCAGACACAGAAATAAAAATAATATTAAAAAGCCAAAAACATTCTCAAAAGCACAGAAAAACAAATCTCAAAAATACATATTACTAAATGTGTTAGACATTAGAGACAGTAGAGAAATGAGGTTGCTAAATGCCTTCTCTAAACAGATAATTTAAGAACAGCTTTTCAGGTTTCATTTATAAATAAATTCAAATACCTGGAGTTTTGTTAGCTGTATTGTAGTGTTCTTCCTTTATAGAGATTGTTTTCACTTTTCTGTACCACAGATGTCAGTTGTCTTTTTACCTTTATTCTGACCCCCCCTCCCCTTTCTTTTTCCTGACAATATTTTGCAGGATGGAATTTTCAAGATGAATCTTTCCCCTGATGGAGCTCTTCTGGCAGCTATTCATTTCTCAGGGAAACTAACAATCTGGTCTATTCCATCTCTCAGACAACAAGGAGAATGGGACCAAACTGACCAGGTATGAGCATTTAGAAGCTAACAGGCTATTTTTTAATCCTCCATGGATTTGTTTGCTGAGGAGATAAAGAGAATTTCATTGACTTATGCTTTAACTATTAGTTAGCAATAATTTTTCTATTGAAACTTGATAACTTAAACTTGAATTCATTACATTATAGCTGGTTCTTAAAGTTTAATGAGATATATTGTTACCAGGTGGGTAACTAGTACAGGTGGACTGAACTGCTGTTTTTAAATATGAATGGAGGCCAACATGGAGAACTTGAAATGGTTGAAACCAAACTTTGCTGTTTTCATTTTTTTCCTTCCTTCTACAAGATAACACTTGAGAATAATTTGACTGTCAGAATGGTGTCAGTATGTCGCATGTTAGAGAAACTGTTCCCAAAACTAAGTTTGGGACCTTATGTTAGGAAGTGCCAGACTTGAAACAGTACATTGAAAACTTGAAAACTTGTATGTTACTGGTGTGAATTTAAGCATGGAGAATTAGAAATGAAATCATTTTCAAAGAAGATCCCTAATAACTATTCTTTGAGTAAAGGCAACACTTTCTTTCAAGAAAAATATGTCTACTTGTAGTTTTGAAAAGACAGACCTGAAATAATGCACGCTAGTATCTGAAATATTCTGGGTTTAGCCCGTGTTTCTTAGGAATCAAGAATTAAGGTGAAAAGCTTTTCATCTGAAGGTGTGTTATGTTATAACTTAGAAGATGTGAACTGATGTTACGTAACCAGTCAAATGGGATCTTTGGTCACTAGGTTTAGATATAATCAATTACATGCCATGTCTCTTATGCAGTGTTTATCTCAGGTTATTTTAGTGCATGTAAGTGTGTTTCTGATTAGAAAATAGTTATAAAACTGAGTATTTTCTCCTTAGCACTAAACAATTGTGTTTTAGTGCATTTGTTGATATAATAAGTTGATATGTCACTATGAAATATTTGCAGTTTCTGACTTCTGCATGGTAAACATATGCATAAAGTATTGACTCCATTCAAAATTCAAACAAATGTAGGTCATTCCTAAAGCAATACCTCCTACTTGTTTCCATGAAAACTACATAAGCTACAAAGAGCACAGAAAAACTTCTTGATAGAGCAGATTCTCAGCAACAAAACATTGATTTTTCAACATAGTCTCTGCCGTTGGCTATGCATTTTTGTCAGTGATGAGCCTGCATACTGTCTTCATAATAATCTGCGCCCGTGAAGGTGACCCACTAACTCTTGCCACTGCTGAAAGGCACCACCCACCACCTCACTGTGCTCACATCCACTATTTGATCTCCATAAACATCAGCATGCATTGATGAGCGTCAGCAGGTGCACTTTTTTCCACATGCAGGAATTCAGTGGCACACCTTTGCTTTATATATGCTTTCGTGTCAAATGCCATTTTGTCAGATTGCCCTCTGCTGCCATCTGTTACACGACAACAATATTCGTGTGGAATATTGTCAGAAAGGTTCAAACTTTACTGCCACATCACCAACATCCGCTTCTGACATTGTGGACCAACGTAACAGAATCAGAGGCGTTACTTTTCAGAACATCCCTTGTAAATATATTTTCTCCACTTATCATAGAATATTTTAAATTCTTCAGTTTCATTGTGCAGTAAGTTCTGTAAGCTCCAAAGCAGAACACTTCTCAATGATACCTATAGGCAGGTTTCTATAATAAGAAAGGGGACAGCGTGGAAAAATGTCTTCGGGCTGTCCAGAGTGGTGGTGGATACTCAGTCCCTGAAGACATTTTAGGTCAGGCTGTATGGAGCTCTGATCAGCCTGGTCTAGCTGTAGGTGTCCCTGTTCATTGCAGGGGAGTGTGATGAATCTTGCAATAGATGATCTTTAAAGGTCTCTTCCAACCTATATGGTTGTATGAAATGAAGGCAGATTTTTTTCCTTTTGATATTATTATGGCAGTGAGGGTAATTGAATGGTTTCAAGAAAAATTACAAAAACAAAAGCCCAGGAACTTTTGACTGTATGAAAGGTTTAAGCCAATTAAATAGCTGAGTGATAATGGTTGATTGGGTGCTGCTTTTTCTTCTGCCAGCAAGCAGGGAAACTGTTGGCTTGGAAACTTGGCAGTGTTGTATAGTTTAAGAAGGTCAATAAAGCTGGCATAGGGTCTGGACCACCATTCTGGAAGTGGAATTGTTCAGCCTTGAGGAGGCTCAATGGAGGCCCTACAGCTCTCTACAACTACCTGAAAGGAGGTTGCGGCAAGTTGGCCTCTTCTCCCAGGTAACTGGTGATAGGACTAGAGGGAATGGCCTCAAGCTGTGCCAGGGGAGGCCCAGATTTAATATTAGGAAGAATTTACTGTTAGAACTCATGCTCGGGGAAGTGGTGGTGTCACTACCCTGAAGGTGTTTAAAGAAGGGGTAGATATAATTCTTAGGGTTGTGGGTTAGTGGGTAATATTGGAGGTAGGTGGACAGTTGGACTGGGTGATCTTAGAGATCTTTTCTAACCCTAATGATTCTAAGATCCTGAATTTTGGCTACTGTCGTTATGTAGTTGGGTCTGGTTAGGCAATGCTGACTGATTGAGGAATCTAGCGGTCCTTTTATTTATTTTTTGTTCTTCTAAAGCTTTGGAGATGAGTACAATTTTATTGAAGTAAGAGTATGCTTTATTATTAGAAAGGGTTTAAATTTTTGTGGGAGTGTTTTCGCTGAAAGATGAGTGGGCCAGTGATGGAGCAGATATGCAGATTGCATGCGATACAAAGATTTGCTTGTACATTAACCCTTTCTTTTCTCTCTTTTTTTATTTCTTTAGCCGGGTTTTGATGAAGTCAACCCAGACTGGAAACTGTCTAGTGAAAAAAGAAAGAAAATAAAAGGTACGTGATAGAGTTGAATTATTATTTTAAATCATTGTGTTGTTAAAGCTTCTTCATGGCTAACCAGCTGACTAAGCACTGAAGTAGGGTGTTAAGCTGATCTGTTTCTAAGTGCTGTTTGGGGAAGGTGGCTTTTTTTCAGAGAGATGGCAAATGATAATATATTAAACAAACTGTTTGTGGTGAATATTTTGTTCCAATGTCCAGTTACCATACAGGTGACACAGTTTTCCTTCTCTGTTATGCTTTTTTGTTCTTGTTGGCACTTTAATATTCTTAATAACTTCATCTTGTAGGCTGTCTCAGGAGTCTTGTTCGCAGTTGTCAGTTTTTCTCGAAAGCAGTGAAGCCTTTGTTGTTTTATCAGTATAATGTTCTTGGTTAGAGAGACTTGATCAAGGATGTCCTGGGAAATATGAAAGAGATGTTTATCAGATATCTAAAATTTGTCACATTTTATGCAAGTAAATCAGTTTATTGTAAATTCTTTTTCTAAAATATATTAAAAAGTAATCAGATTATATAAAAAATTGAGTTGCTTTCTCCCCCCTTCCTCCCCAGCATCTGTAGTTAATACAGGAATGGTTTCACTAAACCAGCAGATGTAAAATACAAATTCAGTGAACCAAGGATGTGTATAAAATAATGAATGTTTGTTAAATTAGACCATCAGATGATAATTCTTAATAGTTGAAGCCACTTCAGTTCTTATCTGGTGTTTAAAATTGCCTTTCCTTATATGGTGCTTTCTTATTTCTTTATTTCAGATAAAGAATCCTATTACCCATTGATAGATGTAAATTGGTGGGCAGATAATTCTGTGATCCTGGCTCGTTGCTCTGGTGCATTGACTGTGTCATCAGTCAAGACATTAAAAAACTTGCTGGGGAGGTCATGTGAGTGGTTTGAGAGTTCTCCTCAGGTCACTTCAGCTCATGATGGAGGATTTCTAAGTCTGGAGGTGAGGAGTGCACATAAGCAAGTATAAGGAATGCAGTAGAAAGTGTTTTCTGTTCTATATGTTACACACATATATATTTTTATTAATAGTGAAAGTGATTCTTCCTTATCTCTAGGCAGGCAATTCTGAACCTCCTGCAATTCAGATGTCTTTATAAAAATCTTAATTGCCAAGTAACTTGGCTATTATACTTACCAAGTAATTGCCATGTGTAGATGCAAAACTTCTGGAAGCCTGAATCTGAATTAAAGAATCTTGCTGTGGGGAAACAGTTTGTCAGCTCTCTCTTTTTTTTTTTTAATTTTTTTCTTTAACTGCTTTGTTAGTGCATTTGAAGAATATTGCAGGCATCCCTCTCATCTTGCAGAGAGAGTATGTTTAAGAGAAGCAAGGAGCAAGTTAAAGTTGGCCAACCCTTGAAAGGGATCTATTTTTTATTCACCTTTAATAGCGTTCTGGACAGGAGTAGAATATTACTTTAGTAATGAAGTAGACCAGGAGTTTTCTTCAAAAATAAGGCGGCTTACACTGGAATAGATCTTAAACAACTTAAAAGTTAAATATTTATCAAAATAGATGAGTACATACCAAAGCTTTTTGTACTTATTTCTGGAAAGTTTTGTTATTTAAGAAATGAAATAGAGCCAGTGACTGGCATGTTACAGCCTATGGAACAACAGTTTGAAAATACATCTGCATTGAACAGAAAGACATAATTTGCTTAGCTAATAGTTGAAAACATTGTTACACTCTGCAGTAAGCTGTATAATTGTACTGAGGTTAAACATATCTCTGTAGGTCTGTACTCTCTGTAGATGTTATAAGGTTGAGTGTATCTAGTATAACAGTGGACTACTGTTAAGAAGCCTTTGCCCTTGCTTTATTAAGAAAGTGATGAAGCCTCAAATTTGGAGGACAGACTCAGCCAGGGCTTGTGGACGGCATTAATCAAGCTGAGAAATAAAGGGTTTAAGAGAGAAAATGTTGATTTTGAAATTCGAAGTACTAGAAGTGGGCATGTACTTGTTTATCATGAAGATAAACTATGTAGAAACTTTTTATTTTACCCTTAAGAATTATCTTCTGTGCAGTGTGAAATAAAACTAGTTCCAAAAAGATTACGCTTGGAAAGCAGACCTGGTGATGAAGATGAGGGGGAAGATGACTCTGACTCAGATGATGAAAATTCTGCTAAGGATAGATACTTCAGCTACCTGAAGCAAGGCCTATACTTTGTGACAGAAATGGAACGATTTGCTCCTCCACGGAAACGTCCGCGTACTATTACAAAGAATTTCCGCCTCGTTAGTTTGAGGTCCACAACTCCAGAGGAACTTTACCAGAGAAAAGTGAGTATGAAAGGGAAGATTCCATCTCTGGTAATGAGCTTTAATCGAACAGAGTTTTTTTAGAGACTTGCTATATTAACACTAGGCACATATTTCTAAGGGCCTCGTGGATGGCAGTATGCAGTGTTACCTAACATAAGTTAGGTAAAAACAGCATTACATAATAAAAATAACAGGATGTTTGCTGGTCATCATGTTTCATTAGGGTCATTAGACCAGACTGTGCTAATGTGAGTGTTCACAAACAGTGGATGAATGGGTGGATATACTGAATTAAGTTAATTTAGCTTATTATTATCTAGGGAATGGGTTAATTTATACCTTATATTGCTATTATATGAATGTTTTTTGAGACGTGCCATACATACAAAGTAGCCTTGTGACTCTTATCGCAGAAGAGATGCTTCTTTATTTTGAAGACTACTCTAGGCAGTACTTTGTTTAGAACACTTCAGTTGTTCTAATGGTAAGCCAAAACTGTAGCTATTAGAGTTTCCAGGGGGTATGGATGGCACTGCATGCTGCCATCTACGACATCACTAATGTCGTAGTGATTGCCTAAATAATTTCTTTCTTTTTTACTGAGAAGTTTGTATTTTTGTAGAGCTTTCTATCAGATTTGAGTTAAGAGTTTTACATATTCTTATCTTACATGATGTTTGCTTTCCTACCTGCACAAGCACACCGGGAGTAGTCATCCCTCTTACCTGTTTTAACACAGAGAATTAATTATTCATTGCTTAATGTTGACTTTCATTTTCACGTTTGCTTTTTAGATTGATAATGAAGAATATGAGGAAGCTCTGTCTTTGGCTCAAGCATATGGCCTTGATTCTGATCTTGTGTATCAGAGGCAATGGAGGAAGTCAGCTGTTAATGTTGCTTCAATTCAAGACTATTTGGTGGGTTTGTGTGACTTTAGCAATTTTTTTTTTAAGAGTGGCTGTGTAATCTTCACAGAAATCTCCATTGTGTTCTAATTTATGCAACATAAATTGGAGGCAGTTCAGAGAGTTGTCCTGTGAATGTCTATTGTTTGTCATGTGGGAGAGAGTGATCTTGTTAATTTAACTGAAGGCTTGATCCAGAGACCTTAGAACTTGGTTTTATCTGAAATTAGAAAATATCTCCAAGGAGAAATTTTCATCAATGTAGTCTCTCTGGTGTAATCTCTTCTCCACATGCAGCACTAGATTGTTTCCTGGCAAATAAATCATAACTGAAAATATATTGTATTTAAGAAATTTCCAGGTATTGTAGAAAGTTATTTGGAAAGGTTAAGTTGGTATCCATAGCAAAGGTTGAATAATGAAACTTGCATTATATTCAGCCTGTAACTGGAGCTCTGCTGCAGAATCCAACATAGTTTTTTTATTTGTTTTGGTGTGAGAGGAGATAATCCAGCAGAGAAGCATTGTCAGAGTTGCACAGTCTACTGGTGCAGTGGTGTAATATCTCCCAAGATATCAAGAGAATATATGCTGATTTTATTTTTTTCAAGTCATATATTAATTGGAAGGTCAAAATAAGCAACCCTTCTCCATGTAGTATATAATCTCAACCAAAAATCAACCAATAAATCCAATAATATTTTGTCACCTTGCTTTTTCCTTTCTGTCACAGAATCTCATAGGCATGCGAAGAAACCAGTACTGAAAATGACTCCAGTGCTGTTGTGGAATACATTGAATCTATGATACCTATATCTTTAGCTCCAAAACATTATATTTCTTATAGTATAATCAACAAAGATACTAATTAGAGAACAGAAGTAGTAATTTCTTGACTTATCAGCAACAAGACATCTGGCATTTGTACATTAGCATTGCAACAAGTCTTATCTTCATTATGTTAACTGAACAAAGTAAAATTCATGTACTGATAAACAAAACTGTAGATGACCATTTGTGGGGTATCTTTTTTTGGTTCACACTGAAAGTCATCAGATTAACTTGACGTTTCCTAAGTAGTGGAAACAAATTAAGAGATTTTAACAACTCTGGTTTCATTGACTCTGGTTTCATTGCTTTGGATTGAAATGGGGGTAGAGTGGCTGGAAGGCTATGTGGAAGAAAAGTGTATTGGGGTTATTAGTCAACAGCCAGCAGCTGAATATGAGCCAACAATGAGCCCAAGTGGCCAGGAAGGCCAGTGGCATCCTGGCTTTATATAAGAAATAGTGTAGTCAGCAGAACTAGGGAGGTGATAGTTCCTATTGACTTGGAGCTGGTGAGGCTGCACCTCAAGTACTATGATAACTGCCCAGGAAAGTGTTGGAGTTACTGTCCCTGGAAGTGTAGAAAAGTGTGGCACTGAGGGACATGGTTTAGTGGTCTGGTGCGTGTGGGTAGTTGTTGGACTAGATGATCTTGGAGGTCTTTTCCAACCTTAATGATTCTAAGATTCAATGAAACATGTAACAATGGACCTATGCTCTTTGTTCTTCGACAGAGCAAAATTAAGAAGCGTGCGTGGGTTCTTCATGAGTGTTTGGAAAGAGTTCCAGAGAATGTGGATGCTGCTAAGAAGTTGCTTCAGTATGGCTTGAAAGGCACAGACCTGGAGGCTCTTGTGGCCATAGGAAAAGGAGAAGATGGTGGCAGGTTTGGCAAGAGTGTTATCTTTTCTTTTTATTTATTTATTTTTGTCTAAATCAACTAATGAGGTAATAAGTAGTATTGAAAATATTGATATGTTAATGCAGAGCATAAGAAGAGTTGCAGTGCTGTGAATCAAAGCACTTAAAGTTGCCCACAAGCTGCCTGTTTACATTTTACAAAGTACTTTTGTACTGATCTTTCTGTTTTCTCTGGATGTCTGTTATATTTTGCATCACGGAGAACTTCCAATGTCATGATTTTTCTGCGAGGTTCTGTTTCTTCTGCCTCTCCTAGCAGCTGCTGCTGCTCCTATAAGGATGTTTTATTGTGTATCTTAGTTGTAATGATATTTTGTTACTCATTTGAGGAAGGGAGCAGAGCAAAATACAGGGGGTCAGAAATACATGCAGAGACCGTCATTGTTCAGTTCCTAGTGGTGGAGTAGGATGTTCTTTCTTTATCCAGTTATCTAGTACAATTGTGCACTATAGAAATGCTGCCAATTCCACTGCTACCTGTGGAATTTAGAAATATTTAAGTTATCATCGTTGTGTTTATTTTTTTTAAGAAGGGTAGGGAAGAGGTGATGCCCTTTGTTGGCTTGTGCTGCGTGTCTTCTCCTTATTGTAGCAGAATTCATTATTATAATTTTCTATGGAAGTTGAGATTTTTATTTAAGACTTAAATAGAAAACTCTGTTGATAGACATATTCAATAGTTATTTCTTACACTTTTTTGTTGTTTTGATCAGCACACAGTTGATTGTTTTTTTTTTGTCCTCCAGATTTATCTTACCAGGGGAAGCAGACGTTGGTATTCCATATGAAAACTTCTTGTCACCAGATGAAGAAACAGATGCTAAAAATGAAAAAGAGGCCAGGAAGCATCAAGAACTGCTATTATCTTTAAACTTCTCAAAGTAAATGCAACATTAACTATGTTTTATTCAGAATTACAGGATTATTATAAGTACGGAGTTATAAGTGTGTAGCTACTTCCATGTATGTTATTCCTAATAGAAAAATGGTGGAGATTTTAAATAGGTGTTGTACTGTGTCCAAGTTCTCAGCTTATTAATTTCTCAATATATTTTAGTTGTTCAAATATGTAACTATTGTCTTCATTTACATATGATGCAATGTCAGTTGTAAATGTGAAAGCATCTGTTTTGGAAACAGGCTAACACTGGAACAAAAAGAACTGTGCAGGAGCAGACTGAAGTTGTTAACTTACCTTGATCGCCTTGAAACTTATGAGGTGAGAAACTTGGTAATGGCTTTAACTCTTTTCGAGTTCCCATTACACAGGTAGTCCTGTAACTTTTTTTGTCACATCATCATATTTTTTGTTATATGTTGTAGTATTAATGTTTATAGTCTCCTTGAAATATAGCAGTCTCTCACTTGAGAAATGTGAGCTGTTTTCTGTTCAAGCTACTGTATTTTTCCTGCTTCAAGGTTGCAGATGGCTAGCTTTTAACTTTGAGAGGCATAGCTGGGCAGAAGCCTGCTTTGAACATACGGTGTCCATTTGCCAGCAAAGCAGCCTATTTTCCCCTTTTTCAGGAATAGTTGTGTATAGTTGAAAGTGTATTCAGAGGATTTGGCATTTACACACAAGTGTGTCATTAAAGTGTAAGGGGAAATCTGATGCATCTTGAATAATAGAACAATCTTGAGCATAGGAAATAATATAGAAAAACATGAGATGTGGAATGTGGTGTAGGATCACTTGCTTTGAAACTGCATCAGTCAGTCTAAAGAAGTCAGTCTAATTCAGATTCTCTATCAGATCTCCTCTTTTTTTGAGTTACAGAAATGAAACTTTTTGGAATGTGAATCTGTATTTTTTTCTTTTTTTTTTTTTAAATTTAACTTTGCAGTTGGTAGTACTCAGGTTGATTTTTACTACATTTCCTTGTAACTAATGTTGTATAAACTTTAATTAAAATGGAGCAGAGAATTGTCTTAGCTTATCAATCAAAAATGTATCCTTTTTCCATACTGGGATAAATTAAAACCACCAAAAAATAATCAAAAACAAACAACAAAAAAACCAAGCCTCCACCATGTTTTTTCCAGGTATAATTTATGTTTATTCATGGTATGATGCATATAGTTTTGGATGCTGTTGTGAATCTTGTATAAAATCTGGTCTGTAATTTTTTAAAATTTTTTATTTTTTTGTAGGAAATTCTTGGTGGTCCTCATTCAGCTGAACAGCACTATGATGGTGAATTCTTCAAGAAGTTCAGAAATCAAAATATTGTGCTTTCAGCAAGAACTTATGCTCGGGTATTAATATTTTGTTAAGTTTTTTCATTATTGTTGCCTTTTATTGTTGCTTAGGTGTGTATTTGTTCTGTTTAACATAGCTGAATCCCAATGGAAGTTTAAGTGGAAGATGTATTTGTTTGATTGTAAATAAGCAAATGCAGGGACCCTGAACAAATTTTCTTTATTGCTGAAGAAAATTTTGAAGTTAATTTGTTTGTTATAGGGCCTAAACTTGCATTACATTCTCTGTTTCAGTTTATATCAGTCTTCTGCAGTGTATTGCTTTTTGTCTTTAGGAAAGCAATGTTAGAGCCCTGGAAATCTTGTTTACGTTCCATGGATCAGCTTTACTTCCACACAGACAGGCAATTCTCTCCAATTTTCCAGAGACTACTTCACCACATGAATATGCTTTCTTGCTGCCTGAGGCTTGGTAAGAATGCATTAGTGGATATTAACTTTTTTTTTTTAGCTTTATCTTCATTTCTTGTGCAAATCTTCATTTGCTGTTTTACTTTGTGCCATTTCTAAAATCTCTTTGTCTTTCTGGGTTATCTAATGGGAAGTAAGGGATTTAGATGTTCTTGTCTCCGTTACCTGTAAGCATGGACTCTTGACCTGCAGCTTCAGACCCAAATTTTCATTGGTGTAATAGAAGTCTGTGTTCTAAGAGTCAAAAATAGAGTTGTTTTTTTCTTGGATGGCATGTAAATATTGTATTGTTCTGAGTTTGTTTTTAAATACCATTTAATCCTTAAGCAGTCAATAACTTCATCTTGTCACAGACTCCTACTCTCACAAAGGAAGAATTAGGAAAAGGCTTAAATCCCAACTTTCCTTTGAGTATAAAATGTAGTTTACTGTCAATTTCATGTTGACTATTAATATAAACCTTCAGAGGAGAGTCTTGAACGTCATGCTACTGTTCTCAGTCTTATTTAAAAGGAGTTTTAGCTTCTAGGTTGTTTCTTTCAAATGCTTCAATTACAGAATCAGTTTTGAACTATATGCTCAATGCTCACATGGAATTAGAGATTTCAGTTTTTAGATTTTGCCATAGGACTTTGAACTCTTACTTCAGGAAGATAATTCTTTTGAGTAGGTTATGGAATTTTTTTTTTTTTTTTTTTTTTTTTTTTGAGCCTTCCAATATTATAGTTGCATCTTTCATTTGAAAGTTTAAACACTACTTTTTTTGGGTAATATGCTATGTAGAAGGAGTTTTATTCACATAGTCATTCCTGTGACGTTTTCCCAGTTTATAATACTTGTCACTTTTTCTTAGTGGAAGCTGGTGTTTTTTTTTCTTGATATCTAATGTTTGCTAGCATCCTTTTAATCATTTTGTTAATATTAGGAACATGTTCAGTGTGTAAGAACCCTTGTTTTATGTTTTTCTTTAAGGTAACAGATCATAAAGAGAAATTATTGCTATGTTTATAAAAAACAGAAGATTCCAAATTTTCTCTATTGTTTTAATAAGATATATTATATGAGAAGGGAGGAATGAAGGCTTTTCTGAATTGTCATAATTTCTTGCTGGTGTTCATAAACAACTTCTTATTTCTGAAGTATCACTCGTTTTAATTTTTTTTAAATTTTTGTTGCTGTGTTTGGTTGTCTTGTTTAAGTAACCAATTGTTTGCTGGGAGGCAAAATTCTAAAGATTTAAAATAAATAAAGATTTCACTGTTAATCTGGTAGTGAAGATGTGAAGTTATAGTTCAAGAGTTTGCTTCTGTCTGCTACTGAAAAATGGAAGTATATAGTTTGAATCTTTATTCCTTTGGCAGAATGGAGAGACCTTCCCTGTGCTGTGATCAGTAGATATGTGCAAGTTCATGCTTTTCTGCAAGTTGCAGAGTAGATATGGTATTATCTTTGAAATGTTTGTCTTTGCGAAATGTGAATAAGGGCAAATAGGATGTGCATGGAAAGTACATAAAATTGTATTGAGCATCTGATCTAACGTCTTTCTAAAACTGTAATCACTGTTTCAAAACTGATTACTAACACAGTATTACTAACTACATCTTTGTTTTATTAATGTAGTACAATGGAGCATCTACTAATGAAAATATCTGTTAATGACAATAATTTACTACGATTTCTTATTAGTTTTAGAAGGTGTCTTTTGAAAAGCGATCAGTTTTTTTCTTCCAGATAATGTCAGCTTCTGAGAATTTTCAGTTCACATGAATCAAAATTAATTCATGTGAATCAAAGAGAATTTGAGTTCTCGGTCATCTTAGTATGAGTTTATTGGGTCTTTTTATTTCTTGCATTTATTTTTTTTAATGGGAAATTAGTATAAACAGAATGACTGCTTATCTATAGACACGTATTTGTTATGATTTCCAGCTGAGAGGAGTATGTTATTTAGTTTTACTGTTCTGTAGAGTATGCAGATACAGTTTGCCTTAAATGAACTGAGTGAACTTGTGTTAATTTATTGAGCTATTTCATTCCTATTTAGTATTAAAAACTTTCAAGTGTTGGCTGTAATAAACATCTGAACAAAAGGAAGACATTGTGAAATGGAAGAAGAGGGAAAATGAAGTTCTGCTGAGAGTTGCCTATATCTTCTGTGGTTTTCGAGCACTTAAATAGATAAGAGGATGGAGTTCTCTGAGGTGACTCCACTCCTTTTGGAAATTTACTGCTTTGCTCCATGTTCCTCTAGTTAGTTGCTGCCTTTTCTATGGGAATTTGGATGAGGAAAAGCTTGAGATGAAATAGAAGGTGCTGTCATGCTTGTGCGTGGAACAGGGGAAGTGGGAAAAATAGACACCTAACTATTGCTAAGTAAAAAGCACTGGTACGCAATTGTTTGCTATAAAGCACCACCAACATGAATGCATGTAGAGTCCTGCATCTGAAGAATGTCAAAACCCAGGAAAAATGTTTTTGTGAAGGTTGCCTCATTACTGTCATTTCATTTTGTCTCAAGCTACAGACAGTGAACTCAGAGAAAGTGATGCCTGTTTTGCTAGTGCATGTTATATGCAGTCTTAAGCAAGTAGTTTTTCCTGTTACTGGCACTTCGTCTACATTAGGATGGCACCTTGAGTCTGGTGTCCCAAAAACTTTGAGGCACAAAAGTTGGTTTAGCCAAGAGGAAAAAAGTAGTAGGTGATAATATTTACTTACGTATTTTTGCAGAATTGTGATCATAATGTGTTCTGACTCCTTCCATTTGTCATAATTATTTGTCAGCATCTTTGATATCTGTGCTGGGTCATTGGTATTCATACTCCTCAAAGATCCATTAGGTACATGGTCTATATCTTTTCAGACAACTAGAGTGCACATCATAGAAGTTTAGGTATTCAGAGGAGTTGATCTCTCTTTTAAAAGAATGACATTTCGCAAATTAGCATTCCTAGTTTATGGTTACGATTGTTTCCCTCAGGTTTTTAAAGATGATCTCAGAGGAAAATAATGCTTTACCACCATTATAAATATGTAACCAGTCTTCTTCCTTTTCTTTTAATTTCCTTACATTTAACTTTTATATTGCAGCATAATAGTTCACCCTTTAAACACAGAATTTGGGAAATTCAAATGTGAGGTTTCCTCAACATCCGTAATTTTGTACGTTACAGCAGTAGGGAAAAACCTTCGCTTCAAATCAGTGAATTCTGCATACTTCTGCTTTTTTTACCCTTTAACTTTTTTTAAGTACTGGTTTTCAGTCATGACTTACAGAGAACTTTTACTGGAGAGTTTTGAAAGAACTCCATTTGCACTGGGATAGGCATGGAAATATTTTTTAAAAACTTCAGATGAAGCTTTTAAAATCAGAAAAATTCAATTCAGTAGATTCTCATCTACGAGCAAAAAGATAATTAAAACTGAGAGAGTTCTAAGTGGCTTTGCCTTTGCGTTACGATACCTTCTCCTGGTTTTTAGTTACTGCTTGGTGCATTGCAGTTCCAATAATGTACCTTTATCTTTTTTCTTGTGTATCTAATTGATTTGATAACTGAATGTCTTTGGAATTGTCAGATGTGTACTCCTAGTTATGTTCTATTAGTTTCTTTTCTTCTGATGAACTGCCTTTGTTTTTAGTTCAATTTAGATGTGTTTATGTTCAGAGGATTAATCCCATAGTCAGTTTTGTCTTTTTGTTTTTATTTATTTGTGTAGCAGTACAATCAGAGAAGACTTCTGCACTTCTTGTATATATGCAGTCCTCTGCACTTGGATAAAGAAAAAAGCAACAACAGTTCAGAAGTAGAGAGTCAGTGTAGTTGATATTATGAGTTTAAAAATCACTAATCTAACCTTCAACTGAAAATTAGAAAAGCAAGTTTTGAGGGGAAGATTACATTTTCATGACTCCACATGTTCATGCTTCTCTTTGCATTGATTTCTGGTAGGAAAAGAGAAATTTCTTGTGGTATTCGTAAAAGGTGTTTTGGAGGAAAAGAAGTTCTTAAAACTGGCCTTTGTGGGGATCTGGGCAGCTGCAGGATTGGCTGAATTTGGCCGAAGAGATGCTGCAGGAAGTGAGCTGGTTGAAGTATTATGTTATTACTCTTCAAGAGTTTTTGAACATGCAAGAGAGAATTTGAAGCTATGAAAAGGCCATGGAGAACATTTGACAAGAACTGTTGACAAGGAAGGTGGGAAGTTTATGAAGAACTGCTATATGTGAGCATAACTGCTGTTTAGAGTGACCTGAACATCCTGAAAGAAAAGCAGATTTCTGTTCCTGTGAATGAAGAAAACTTTTGGAACAGTGAAAACAGTGAAAAACAGAGAAGCTCACCAGGATCATGGTGAGCACAAGCAAGTCATGAGCCAGCAGCACGTCCTGGAAGCTAAGGCCAGAAGCAACCTGGCCTGCGTTAATAGGAGCATACCCAGAAGACTACTGCGCTCACTCAGCTGCATCTAGGATACGGGACAACCAGGAAATATTTTGATAAAGCATAGTGAGGTTAGCAGAGGACCATCAAGATGTTTAGAGATCAGAGCACTTTTAAAAGGCTGAGGGGACTGGGTGTTTTCATTGAGGAGAAGGTTTTGGGAGTACCAAGCAGCAATTTTCTCAAATCTTGCTATAGAGCATGAGCTGAACTGCAATTCTGTTGTTTGTTGTGTTAACTTGTTTTTCTTTCTGCAGTGTTTATGCCTAGCTTATCCTGTCTTTGTTTACCGTGTCAGTCTATTGCATGCATGTTCCTGAATTGTACCTTGGCTTGCCTTCTGTGTTATTCTCTGAAATTATTTTGCTGATCTGGTCTTGCTTGTAGCTTTTTTTATGGAATTAAGAACAAAATTTCTTCCACAAACTTTCATTACACTTTTATAAGTGTACATTTATATAAAAAAGTACATTTTTATAAATGTATTTTCACAGTGTGGTGGCAAGGCTGGGAGCTCATCTATGTCTTTAAGGCAGCCCATTTAGATTTTGTGAAAGCT